AGAAAAAATGAGCCGGGCATGGTGGCGCAATGCCTGTAGTCCCAGCTATTCGGGAGGCTGAGGCAGGAGGATTGCTTGAGCCCAGGAGTTTGAGGTTGCTGTGAGCTAGGCTGACGCCATGGCACTCACTCTAGCCTGGGCAACAAAGCGAGACTCTGTCTCAAAATAAATAAAATAAATAAATAAATAAATAAATAAATAAATAAGTCATTACAAACCAAATGCTGGTAAGGATGTAGAAAAACTGAATCATTCATGCTTTTTGGAGGGAATGTACAATAATGTAGCCACTCTTCTTAAAGTAAAACATTCAACAACTACACAACCCAGTAATTTCATTCTTGGACATTTATCCCAAAGACATGAAACTTACAATCACATAAAAACCTGCACATGGATGTTTGTAGCAGCTTTACTTATACTAGTCAAAAGCTGAAAACAACCAGATGTCCTTCCCTGGGTGAAGGGCAAAACTGCAGGGTACCCGTGCCGTGGAGCACTGCTCAGCCACCAAAGGAACAAATGACCGGTGTGTGCAACAACTTGGGTTCATTGCCAGAGAACTATGCTGAAGGAAAAAGGCCAATCCCAGAACATTATATACTGCATGATTCTGTTACATAATGGTTTCGAAATGATAAAATTATAGAAATGGAGAACAGATCAGCGGTTGCCAGGAATTAAGGAGGCAGTTTGGGCAGAAGGGAAGTGGGTGTGGCTACAAAGGAGCCCCATGGGAGAGAGTGTTCTGTGTCGTGGCCTTACCGATGTCAACATTGTACTATAGTGTTTTCAAGATTTTATCACTGGGGGAAACTTTATAGAGAATACATGGAATTTCTTTGCATTATTTTTTACAACGGCATGTGATTTTACAATTATCTCAACTTAAAAAATGTAATTTAAAATTCAAATGCCAGCTCCAGCAGTTTTCTCATGTACTAAGTGGTGATTTAGATCATTTTGGTGGGTGATAGGGAGAATTAGCATTTTATTTAATGTCATGCAGAGAGAATATGTTAAATACATGGCAACTACTATTATCGTTACTGTGATTATTAAAATGCAACATTTTTAAAAAGCTTCAAGATTCCCCAAGAAAGCATATATCCGCTGTTCACTTCAGAGTTTACCAAAAAGGGTAACAGAGAAGGAGCATCTCTGAAAGCAGAGCCTGGCCCAGAGAGGACAGTGGTCCCAGAGGGCCCCTAAAGGTAGAGTCAGGGGGACCGAGAGGGGTGTGGGCCAGCCTGATGTCTTCTCAGTGGAATTATAGGTGTGCCAAGAACCAATAATTGCCATTTATTTTCCATTCTTCTCCTTGAACATTTACTGTGGCATTTACTGTCCCATTCTTCAACTATTGTACACTGGCTGTGTGCCGGAAGGTGGTAATTGTCTTTTTAATTTGCAGGTGTCGAGCCCAAGACAGCCTCGCTCGGCCTGACGTAGAGACCGGGACTCGTCACCCGGCAGTCCTGGCCCGAGCCTGCTGCTGTGCAGCCACGGACTTCTGGGCTGTCTCTGGGGAGAACGGGAGTGTATTCTGCATCTACAGGGAAAGAAGAAGGAACGAATTGTTTAGTCTCCAGAACTGCAGACTGAGGTCAACATTACTAACGCTCCCCTAACTCCACGGGTGAGCTACGTCCCTTCGTCACCTGGAAGACCACATTTTCCAGCCTCCTTACAGTTAGGTGGGACCCTGTGACCAGTTCTGGCTGATGAACCACACTGAGAGTGATGCGCTAGCAACACCCACTGCTGCGGAGCTTCGTGCAGGAGGCTCCTTGTGATGTTCAGAGGCCATGAGATGGAAGCAGCCTGCATCACTGAATCTTTGTCTGGGGACAGTGGCCCTAGAGAGCATGCCGGGCCTAAGTGGACTTTGGATGAGCAATAAATAAAGCTCAGTTAAGCCACTGAAATTCAGAGATTGTTTGTCGCCACAGCACGATATAGCCTGTTGCTATGGTTTGGATGTGGTTTGTCCCCACCGAAACTCATGTTCACGTTCGAGCCCCAGACTGGGCAGTGTTGGGAGGTGGGGCCTTTAGGAGGTGTTTGAGTCATCGGGGAGGATCACTCATGAACAAATTAGTGTCCTCCCTCTGGGGTGAGTTCTCACTCTCTGGGGAATAAATTTGTTCCCACGAGAACAGGTTGTTAAGAAGGGTCTGGCTTCCTCAGTTTCTCTCTCTTGCTTCCTCTCTTGCCATGTGATGTCTTTGCACACATCTGCTCCCTTCCGCTTTCTGCCATGAGTGGAGGCAGCACTGAGGCTCTCGCCAGACATGGCTGCCCAATTGTGAAGCTTCCGGCCTCCAGGGTCAAGAGCCAAATAAACCTCTTTTCTTTATGAATTACCCAATCTCAGGTATTCTGGTAGCTTTCCTTATTGATTTAGTTAAATTTAAGTCCACATAAAATTCTTAACTGGTTTATTATAGATGTGTGGTTAGTCTAATGCCATACACTGTCACTATTGTGCTCTCAAAGCTACTAGGTCTGATCATTCTAGGAAGTAAGAAATTAGCTGCTGCTTACTCATGTCAGTTACAACTGTCAAACCAAACAGTTATAATATATGGGTAGTAAAAAGACTTCAAGGTGTTCCTATTTGTTCTTATTCATTCAAGAACCTGTGTGTCAGCTGGGCATGGTGGCTCACGCCTGTTATCCTAGCACTCTGAGAGGCCAAGGAGGGAGGATTGCTCAAGGTCAGGAGTTCGAGACCAGCCTGAGCAAGAGCAAGACCCCGTCTCTCCTAAAAATAGAAAGAAATTATCTGAACAACTAAAAATATATAGAAAAAATTAGCCGGTCATGATGGCACATGCCTGTAGTCCCAGCTCCTCGGGAGGCTGAGGCAGGAGGATTGCTTGAGCCCAGGAGTTTGAGGTTGCTGTGAGCTAGGCTGACACCACAGCATTCTAGCCTGTACAACAGAGTAAGACTCTGTCACAAAAAAAAAAAAAGAACCCATGTTGTGTCACTGAATAATTTATTTAGACTAACATTCAGTTGAATTATATATGTAAGTTTGAAGGTGTATTATAGCCAGTTTCCAAGAAATAGCCTGCATTGAGCACCAAATATTCAAGTAGAGATATATAGAGATAGATCTGGACAGAGAAATGATGAATATCCAATATAGTCTATTTATATTTCTATAAAATAGGATTAATTGTCCATGGTTTTATAATTATGAAACTTCAATTTGAGAAAAAATATAGAAAATTTTCTATTAAGCTTTACTGAAGATACTAATTGTTACCTGCACTCTGGCAGTTAAGAACCTAGTAGGGTAAATACTATGATACATAGTCTAATAGAGCTACCAACAAGAGAAGAAAGGGAATAAATGGATTTGCTTCTATTGGAAAGATCTAGAATTTCTTTGAACTCCTGACCTTGAGCAATCCGCCCACCTCCGCCTCCCAGAGTGCTAGGATTACAGGCATGAGCCACCACGCCGGGAGAGCTTAGAATTTCTTGAAGAAGCCAGAATTCAACTTTGTTCTCAAGAGAGAAGCAGAACAACAACAAAAAACCCCAAAAACAAACAAACAAAACCCAATGAGCCTTTCAAAGAACAGCTTGAACAAACATTTTAAAGTATAAAATTATAAGCTCCTCAATAAACTCCGTTTATATTTCGGAAGAGGAGCTATTTTGGACATGGTTTCATGGGCAGGTATTCACAACAATAGTTTTGTAAATTTGACTTTGCATATTGAGGTCAAGATCTGAGCAGGACACAGAGAGGGGCATCCTCAGGAGCTAGTCCTATGGGGAAATGGAGCTCAGCACAGAACTTAACTTCAAAGGAAAGTATTAATATTTAGAATCTATCCACATAATGATGGTGTTGAATATACGGGCCTAGGTGGGAGTCAGAAGTGCAAATATTGTCAAGAGAAAAGATAAAGACACAAAGACTAAACAAGTGTGTAACTCCCATATTTAGGGCAGGAAAGGCAAAAAATAAATTAAAAAAAGACAGGAAAGAAAAAAATGGAATCAGAAAGGGGACGAGTAAGGATGATCAGAGAAGAAGAGGCAGTGCAAGGATCTCCTTGGCAACACTAGTAAGGACGCCCACTCTCCCCACTGTTAGACAATACCACGGTGGTACCACCTGCATACCTTGCCCACTGTGATACCATCTGTATACCCTGCCCACTGTGGTGCCTACTACCTGTACACCCTCAGTCTCAATGGACAGCCCAAAGGATAGACACCATCAGGGTCCTTTTGCTCTTCATAATCCAAGTCAAGGAAGCTGGCAACAAACCGTAGGTCATGCAGGGATGTAAAGAGCGGTGGGTGAGTAAAAGTGTAGCACGATGTTGACTAGGACTTTTGCTGGGCTGGGGCGCACATACAGGAGGGAGAGAGGCACCATGACCTTATATTGTAAACTGGAAAACAGGCACTGTGGCCAGATCCCCTCTCCAGGCTGCTAATGAAGGATAAGATCTGCCTTCCGAAATCGCCCCACACCGCCCGCGGAGAGGCCAGGGACCAGGGACGGACAGGCAGTGCTAAGCCTTCGCACTAGCCGCGCGGGGAGAGAGTGCTGGAGGACGACTCCGAGAGCACTGGTGTGACGTCTACGCCGCTCTCATTCCCTGGTTTATTAATACAATAGGACGACTGGAGGCAGCTGCACGCCGCCGTGTGGGTGGCAGAGTCCCAGTACACACTACGGAGAACAGCCACGTGGGAGCCACCTTCTGCCACCCCAAGAGTGGCTGCTAAGGAGGGACAGAATACCAAGAAGCTTTGAGCTTACTAAAGGAGTAGAGGGCAGTTCAGTTCTTCCCCACACCGTCTGCTGGAGTTCGGCCTCTCGGGCTCTTTCTGAGCGACAGGGTTCCCTCCAGGTTTCCTGTCGTTCTGCTGAGACCCAAAGATCCAGGAGGAGCTTACCACTGTGACTAGACTGCCATGGACTTCTCAGAAATGCCTGATTCAGACCTGACCCCGAGTCTTACATGCTCCCTGAAGAAAATTCTCGAGACAATTCAGAGTCTTATAACTTCTCTGAAACTTTAACAAGGAACCTTAGTAAATTGTCTATCAGCGCTGGCACCACTCACTATGCGTTCCCTTCCACCAGAGGATTTGCCCCAGCCCCAACCGCCGGCTAGAGCAGAAACAGTCACCCGGGCTACGAAAGGTGGCATTTTTATGCCTTACAGGAGAAGAGGAGTGAGGACTCTGTTATCTGAGCAGAAAAACAGGCTGGCAAGACTGCGTGCGATATATTATAATCAAGAAACTTCAGCGTGAAAGAGAGGAAGAAGAAGAAGACGACGACGACAACAACACTGGATTTGAGGAAACTCAGGGTAAATCAAGAAGTAAACCATTCAGATGCAGGTGTAATTTCTGCGTGCTTTACAAATGGGATCCTTCAGAAAATGCTAAAATAGGGATGTGATGATGGCATCCTGCCCATTTTACCATGAACCTTATTCTTATGCTTTTCTTTTTTTTGATGGTAATTTTATGAAGCAAGTTGAAAGCTTTGTTAGGATAGATTGTAGCAATAATCTTGAATTATATAATCTATTAATAATCTATGATTTCTGATATCTGTTTCTTATATCTTTTCCCTTTTACCTTGATACTAGTAATTTATAAGGGATGTGTGTAGTTTGAATGTATTTGAATAACTTCAGTATACTTTAGCTTTACGTTTTGATTTTACCCAAAGAATCCCCAATAGGTCTGAAGTATTCCCATGTGTTTTAGTGTAACCTAAAGTCAGTGCGATAAAACTCGACATCAAGAATTTGCAGCCGTGACTTGTGGGAGAAGAATCTGAAGGAAACATTGGGTAGTTTGGGCTAGAGATTAATTGATTAGATTTTCTGGTTTTCAAAAATTGTAATGAAAGGAAATTTTGATGTGCTGTATTTTTACTTCCTAGTAGCAAATAAATGTGTGCCTAAGCAATAAAATTGACATTTGAGTACCTTTTAAAAAAAAAAAAAGGAGTGGAGGGAGGGAGTTGGAGAACGCAGAGAAGGTAGCTGCAGATGAAAGAAATGCACGAATGGAGGCTCCTGCCACGCCCCAGAAGAACTCACAAGCACAAGTCACAAGAAGGACACATTTGGAGCACAGAGAGAACCTCTGTGGTCAGGAAAGACTCCCCAGAGAAGGACAGACAACCACTAGGAATGGGCCTCCACTTATAGATGAGGTTCTTGCCCCTTTCCCCCTCCTTTATTTCTGCCTCAACACACCTGGATTAAGCAATGGCACTACTAAGCTTAGATATGACCAGTTGGGGGCAAAACTATTAAATCTAGTTCACAGGTTCAAAGCCCTCCAGTGACGAATACCAGACACTTCGCTGAGCCCAAGCCCTGCGCGGGCTGGCCCTGGGCGGGAGCCGCGGCCGGCTCGCCCCTCCTCCGTCCTTCGCCTCCTGTCTCCTCTCTTCGCAGTGCGCCTGGCCCAGAGCACACAACACTGTCGCGCCCATTTTGCCAGCTGGGTCCCTGCGACGCCTGTCAACCGGGCGTTGGGCGGGGAGGGTGGCAGCCTGGGGCGGTAAAGCCGCAGCTGTCCTGGCGCTGGTCCCTGCTCCTGGTAGCCCTGGAGATTCTGACCTTTGAGTGACATTCCCGTCCCACTTTGCTCCTCCACCATCTTCCACCTTCCTAGCAGGCTTTAACTCATTCTCTATGTTGAATTGCTCTGATTGCAATACTTTCCAATCAGAATGGTTTGTTTCTTCTGATGGATACATCTTTTCTGCAACAGCCCCTCAAGTGGTCACCTCCTGTGACAATGAAGAGCTCATTACTTCCCTGTCAGTTCATTGCATCTTTGGAAATGTCTGACTTTGACACATTTCTCTTATATTAAACTAAAATCCTTCTCTATTATTGCTCGTTCAACCTTTCGTGTTTGCAGTCGCAAATGCCCTAAACACTTACATACTTGGAAAGGGCTCGTCCCCATCTCATGGGTCATTTCCTTTCCAGACCAAACATCCCGATTCCTTCAACTAATAAAACATAGACTTTTCACCCCTTTCACCGTCTAGATATCTCTGTGTCTACCTCTCTCTTAGTGCCGTGCCCGGAGTAATGCCTTTCACCAGATGTGTCCTGACCGTCCTAGCACAGAACGTGGCTGCCATTATCCTGTACGGCGCAGGATTCTTGCCTAGGTGGTTAGAAGAATTGTTTTCAATGGAGAATCATTTCCCAACTTAGCCATTTAAAATAGTTCGGCTTTCATACATCAAAAAAGCATCTGGACATCTCTCCGGGTTCACTACATGTCTAGAAAATGTTTTAGCTTTTATACACTGTATTAGTTTGCTCGGGCTGCCATTAAAAAGTGCCACAGACTGGGTGGCTTAAAGAACAGAAATTTATTGTCTCACAGTTATGGAGGCCGGAAGTCCAAGATCAAGGTGTCAACAGGGTTGTTTCTTCTGAGGCTGCTCTCTTCGGCGTGCAGACGGGCACCTCCTCCCTGTGTCCTCACGTGGTCTTCCCTCCGTGTCTGTCTGTGTCCCCGTCTCCGCTTTTGATAAGGACACCAGTCATGCTGGATTAGGACCCATCCATATGACTTCATTTAACCTCAATTACCTCTTTAAAGACCCTGTCTCCAATGACAGTCTCGTTCTGAGGTACTGGGGTTAGGACTTCGACATGCAAAGTGCAAGGGCTGGGAGGGGCACACAGTTCAGCCCATACTAGACATCAAACAAAGCATCCAGAAATCTCTCCAAGCTTCACTGTGGTAAGTCTAGAAAATAGGGTATGTAGGAGGAGAGCAGGAAATCTCAGATTTCATGTCTACTCATTTCTTTTCTTTCACCACCTCTCAGCAACCTTAAGACAAGCAATTGCAGTCAACTTGTTCTGCCAGGGATTCAACAGCAGGAGCCAGCCCAGGAGCAGGGAGGGAAGGGCCCCTCTCGTTATAATTGTGTCATTTTTCTTTCCATTCCTTTGGCTAAAGCCAAGCAGAACATCATTTGAATCTCAGAGTGTTTTGTCACACTCTGGCACAGGCCCATGACGTCATGTAATGGCACTACAAATTGGGACTGACTTTGACGGGATGCTTAACTCCACCTCCAATGTCACTTGTAGAAATGACGTGTGGCTATCAAGATGGCAAACTATATACATTAGTAAGTGACAAATTGAAATGCAAAAGAACTTAATGAGTCATTGCCTCTTTCCTATAATTGACTTTTATGATCTATCATTTACTTTTTGATCTCGAAAACAGCTGCTTTGCTCTGTTCAGTCAGTCCCCGCCTAAGATAATTCTTTAGCCAGGATAGAAAGAAAATGGTCATGTGGTTATAAGAGAATGAACTGAAAGTAGAAGCCATGTCATGGTCAGGCTTGGGAGCCAGTCCCAGCGCTGAGACCTCACTAGACTTGACCTGGGACAAGCCACTTAACATTTCTAAGCCTCAGTCCCCAATCCTTAAAATGGGCACAATAAGAGTGCCAACCTCATTAGAGAGTTATGCACATTAAATAGGATTGTTGAACTTCTCAGTAAAGTCACTTCCCGGTACAGAGTGACAGGGCACAGCTAACTCATTTTGATTTGGTTTCTCACAAAGATGATTAGGTACAAATCATTCACACACACACACACGGTTAAATCAATAGGATGAAAAGAGGGCACAGTGTTGGAACTCGTTTATTCATTCATTCATTCATTCCCTGCTAGAGCCAGGGGAGCTCACAAGCCTGTGACTGCGGGGCTGGAAAGGCTTCTTGGAGCTGCTGGTTGAACTGAGCCTCAAAGGACAGGGCTCTGCAGAGTGGGAGAGGAGGCATTACCTGCACTGGGAACACAGTGTGTGACGGCAGAACGCGCAATGTGCAGGGAGCTGGAAGGACGGTGCTGTGGCTAGAGAGAAGGAACGCCAGTGGGCGGCTGGAAGAGTAGAGGGAGGCCAGCAGAGGAGGGCCTCTGTGCAGCGCCGCATTTGATTGCATCCAGTAGGCAGTGAGCGCTCATCAGGCCAAAGCGGGGCATTTATAGTTTTTAAAGAAATAACTCTTTAGACAACATGTTTTAGAGTGAATTGCAGGATCCCTATTGATAATAAAATCCACTGGGGAAAAACAGTGGATTCAAAGGTTAAGAGATCCAGCTTTTAGTGTTGGCCTACACACTAAGTAATTGTGTGAACTTGAACAAGTTTTTACCTTCCCCATGAAGTTCAAGGAGAATACTAGACAATTTACAAAATATCATCAGGCATTAATGTCTTTAAATATTGTTGCAAAACATAAAATTATATTTTCAATAGCAAATTGTTATTTAAGCTAGCATTTTCTTGATCATTCTGTGCTCTATTCTTGTTCCTTTTATATCATTTTTAAAAATGTTGAACAGAAATGGAATCATTTGTGAAGGGGCTAATTTTAATGACAAAATGTTTGTGAACATAAAATATTTCACCCAAAGATTTTGCTTCCCATATTCTTTACAAAAAAGGGTTGCAAGTAATTAATTCAAACCACGTTTACAAAATTGTGTATATTTCTAATGACCTCACTGGTAAAAACATACTTTTTATTTATTTATTTATTTAATGTTTTTTTTTGAGACAGAGTCTCACTTTGTTGCCCAGGCTAGAGTGAGTGCCATGGCATACTAGCTCACAGCAACCTCAATCTTCTGGACTCAAGCGATCCTACTGCCTCAGCCTCCCCAGTAGCTGGGACTACAAGTATGTGCCACCATGCCCAGCTAATTTTTTGTATATATATTTTTAGTTGGTCAATTAATTTCTTTCTATTTTTAGTAGAGACAGGGTCTCACTCTTGCTCAGGCTGGTTTCGAACTCCTGCCCTTGAGTGATCCGCCCGTCTCTGCCTCCCAGAGTGCTAGTATACTTTATTTTATAAATACTAAAATAGCAGTATAGTATTCAGTGTATGATTTGTTGAAATGATCAATGATATATGCATTTCTGTGTATTCAATTAGTGATTTCATATTTTAAAATTTTAAATTGACATCTTGATTTTAAAAGTTATTAGTAAAATTCATATGATATAATTTACATTGAAATATATTTAAATTCGTATATTCAGTTGTGATCAATTTTTATGCTACCAAAGGTTATTGAGAGCACAGTGTTTTAATAGTCTTCATATCACTTGGTCTATGTGTTTTCCTTTTCTATAATTGCTAGCATTTCTCTGAAGGTTACGAAGGGGGAAAAGTTCTTAAAATAAAGTTAATGAGTTCATCTTCTGGGCCTCCAAAGAGAAATTGAGACTGTTCGTCAGTTTAAAGACAATCTACCTGCCCCAAACAAGGACGGTTAAGGCAACATGCTCTCCTCAAAAGGCAGACTTTGGACTGGTTATCTACTGATATTCTGAGTAGCTTTGAAGCAATCCTAATAGAATACATCAAACAGTATTTTTGTCTCTGATCCATTAAGTGACTACATTTAAGCAGGTATCTTGACATTTACTTTAAAGGTGTTAACTAGAACATCTTGGCATTAATTTGATGAAAACCTG